CACGGCAATGGCACTGTGCCACCTCCAGGGGGGGGCGATACACAGCAATGGCACTGCGCCACCTCCAGGCAGGGGGGCGATACACAGCAATGGCACTGCGCCACCTCCAGGCAGGGGGGCGATACACAGCAATGGCACTGCACCACCTCCAAGGGGCGATACACGGCAGTAGCGCTGCGCCACCTCCAGGGGGCAATACATGGCAATAGTGCTGCCCCATCCCGGGGCAGGGGCCAATGAGCTGTCACATTGCTATTTTTTCGGTTGGTGTGGTTAGGGCTCTCTTCCCACTGGCTTTGCTCAGTTCTCTTTCTCCAGAAAGCCTATACCCGAGCCTCTGTTAAACAGATATCACTATTATTTAGGACATCTGGTCTGGACCAAAGGGTCAGTTTCCATGCTGTATTACTCTATAACACTATGACCCTTCTGTCCTGGCATTGGGGATTTTGCCAGGGAAACGATGAAGTCACTCAGGATGCTCATCACTACCAGGTTGGAATGGCAGAATCGCTTCCATTGTGTCTCCTCTCACAGCATCCTACATTCCACCGGCCCCTACCCAAGGCCTGCTGACCCTCCGACGGCGCGGCGCTCCCTCAGCGCTGACCCTCTGCAGTGACCCTCCAACGGCGCAGCACTCCCTTAGCGCCAAACCTCAAAACTGACCCTCCCTCAGCACCCGCTCCCTCAGCACTGACCCTCCAACAATGCCCGCTCCCTCAGCGTTGACCCTCCGATGGCACGGCGCTCCCTCTGCGCCAACCCTCAGCACTGACCCTCCGACAGTGCCTGGTCTCTCAGTGGCAACCCTCCGACGACGCAGCACTCAATCAGAGGTCATGCTGGCAATGTCTGCTCGGATGTTGAGAGTCTAGCTTTGGAGGAGTCGTGTGGGTGAATAGAGGGACTGGAGAGTTGCATCTCCTACCAGAGAACAAGGGGCTGGGAGGCAGTTTACATCTGGTGGGGGTCAGTGGATGATGCTGTGCCCCGAATTTAAAGTTAACTTACTGCAAAGTTCCTTGGTCACTGGCGTGGTATCTGCGATTGTTATCCAGATTGTTTCAGAAGCCGTGGATGTCTTCTGAGACTCAATCCCCTGGTGGACGAGAAAATTAATTGAAGTGAAAAGCTGCACTTGACAAAACTGAACACCACTGAGGAAGCCTTGTACCAAGAGAACATTGGAAAGAAATTCAGAGGAACTCAGTTTAAACACCGTCCTTGCAAGTAAGCCCCTAGCAATTAACTCTGAGGAATGATACCTAGTGTGACTGGTTTGAAGAGAAGTTGGTCCATAGGAACACTGTCTGGGAATGACAGAAACCTTCCAACAGCAGTAGACAAAACAGATGAGAGCCTTAGCAATATGGGAACTGCAATCGACCAGTAATTTAAACTGCCAGCCTTCACGAACCTCTTGTGAAGAGGATTCCACATTCTAACAACTGTCTTTGAGACAATAATTATCATTATCTTATTCTTAAATCATTTCCCGTAGTTTCATTCTCCCCCCCTCGAAAACAAACATCCTCCCAGTATATTAACCATACAAAATCAGAAGTCACACAATGCCAAGTTATAGTCCAACAAGTTTATTTAAAATCACAAGCTTTCTGAGCGCTGCTCCTTCATCAGTCCTCCACTTCACCTGATGAAGAGGCAGCGCTCTGAAAGCTTGTGATCTTAAATAGACCTGTTGGACTATAACCTGGTGTCATGTGATTTCTGACTTTGTCCATCCAAGACTCAACAAGAGCATCTCTGTGTCATATTACATAAACAGATCTTAAATGTTTCGGTCAGGTCACCTCTCATTCTTCTGAACCACAATGTGTAGTGGTGTAATTTGTTCAATTTTTCTACAAAAGAGAAGTCCTCCACCTCAGGAATGAGTCAAGTAAAACTCCCCAGAATTCTTTGTAAAATGATCATTTTTTTTCCAAGTAAAGACATCAAAGCAGGATCCCAGATGTGGCCTTACTAACATCCTGCACAGCTACATTAATCCTTCTCTACTCTAATATTCCATTCTCATAGAATCCTTACAGTGTGGAAGCAGGCTATTCGGTCCATCAAGTCAACACCAACCATCCAAAGAACATCCCATCCAGACCCATCCTATAACCACCATTTCCCATGGCCAATCCATCTAGCTTGCGTACAATGGGGCAATTTGGCACGGCCAATCCACTCTAACCTGCGCATCTTTGTATGTGGGAGGAAAACTGAGCACCCAGAGAAAACCCACGTAGACGAGAAGAACGTGCAAACTCCACACAGACAGTCGCCCAAGAGTGGAGTCGAACTCGGGTCCCTGGAGCTGAGACCACTGAGCCACCATGCCACCCATTGCAATAAATAATAATATGACATTCAAAATCCCAAACACTTGCAGATGAACTTTATACATGATTCGTGTACCAGGACACCTCGATCCCTCTGCATTGAAATTGCTCTCCATTTAAACAGCATGCCGCTTTTCTATTCGTCCTGCCAGAATAGACGAGTCCACATTTATCCACATTAAACACCATCTGACAGAAATCCCCCCTTCACTTAACTCGCCCACGTCACTCTACAGACTCCCTACTTCCTCTTGACAAATTTACTTTCCTACCTTTCTTGGCATCATTGACAAATTTAGTGACTACACATTCAAGTCCTGTTACTGATACAGGTTGTGAACAATAGAGGCCCCAGAACTGATCCCTGTGGCACTCTGCTGATCACAGCCAGCCAAACGTGAAAAAAAAACACATTTATTCCTCCCTGAATAATCTGCAGATGCTGGAATCTGAAACAAACACACAAAATGCTGGAGAAACTCAGCATTTATGGAGAGAGACAGATTTGAGTCTCGTATGACTGCTTAAGAACTGAAGAATGTTGGAAACGTTTTTTCTACACCTACGACAGAGGCCCAGTGTAAAAGACAAAAGGGGTTATTAATGGTGAAGACAGAATGGAAGATGTAAAATACTATAGTAAGGATGTTGTGAAACTTGAAAGGGCTTAGAAAAGATTTATAAGGATGTTGCCAGGGTTGGAGGGTTTGAGCTATAGGGAGAGGTTGATTAGGCTGGGGCTGTTTTCCCTGGAGTGTTGGGAGGCTGAGGGGTGACCTTATAGAGGTTTATAAAATCACGAGGGGCAACGAGCAGGTGAATAGCCAAGGTCTTTTCACCGGAGTGGGGAGAGGAGAAAGATTTAAAAAGGACCTAAGGGGTAACATTTTCACACAGAGGGTGGTCCATTTATGGAATGAGCTGCCAGTGAAAGTGGTCGAGGCTGGTACAATTACAACATTTAAAAGGCATCTGGATGGGTAGATGAATAGGAAGGGTTTAAGAGGGCCACATGCTGACAAATGGGACTGGATTAATTGAGGATATGCGGTCGGCATGGACGAGTTGGTCCGAAGGGTCTGTTTCCATGCTGTACAGCTCTATGACTCTATTTGCATAAATTAAGTTTTGAAAGGGGAGAGATGGGCTCTCTACACAGACAGGAATACAAACAAGACACAAAAAAGACAAGACTGTGTGGGTGGGTAGGGGAGAGTAGGGGAAGGGATGAAGAGAATGCAAGAAAAATGGAGAACAGGCAGAATGCAAACAGTTTCTGAAGCTACTGAATTGAAAATTGAATCCTCCAGGTTGTGAGGCACCTAAATGCTATTGTTCCTCGAGCTTGCATTGTGCCTCATTGGAACACTGTGGCGGCCCCGGGACAGAAACGTCAGCACAAAAGCTCAGTGGATTATTGTGAGGGGAAGTAGCTGGGAGGACAGGGTCATTTCCACAGACAGAGCCAAGGTGTTCTGCAAGACAGTCACCCAGTCTGCATTGGGTCCCACCAATGAAAATGTAAGCAGTGAGTGCAGGAAACTAGGCTGAACGAAGCACAGGGAAACCCTGCTTCATCTGGAAGGTGTGGATGGGACCTGGGACACCGAGGAGGGAGGAGGGGAACGGGTATGTTCCGCAACGAGACAGGTATAGCAGGGTCCCCGCAGTAACACCTTCAACTCGCCCAATTTTCCCCAAGTTAAAGGAGAAGTTGTTGAAAGGGAGAACGAGACAGCTGGGCGAAGGTGGTGATGGTTGAAGACTGTACAGATCTCTTGACGAGGCAGGAACTGA